ACAGCACACCTCATTTAGAACATCTGTTTCAATGTCTGTCTAAATCCAAGCTGACAGCTGAAAAACAAATGAAAGTTTCCTCAAGTTGGGATCTTTCCAACAGATCATCCCCTGCTGAAAACTCTCTGTGTGGCACAAGAGACAAAACCAGCGGGCTGGAGTGGTAGGACTGTGTGTGTGTGTGTGTGTGTGTGTGTGTGTGTGTGTGTGTGTGTGTTGGGGGGTGGTGCACAGAGCTGCCTGCCTGCAAGTGGCCAACCCTGATTGATTCCCGGCATCACATATGCTCCCCAAAGCCCTGCCGGAAGTGATTCCTGAATGCAGAACCAAGACTTAGCCTTGAGCACCACTGGGTGTGGCCTAAAAAACCTAAGTGGGGAAAAAAGGAGAGGACAAAACCCAGTCTCCATCGCCTGGGCTCCAAAGTACCATACATCTGAGACAAAAGCCCTTCGAAAAAGTCCACATGCGTCTCACCACACACAGTGCTGGGGGTGGATTCATGACACCCACATTCACATCTTGACTTGACAGTTTACTCACTGTAGCAGCTCAAGGGAGTTATTTAACCTGAGCTCCAGATCAATGCAGGAAAAAGTTCTAGCACTGACCTTTATGTGGTAGGTGTGGTAAATACTGGCATGCCGTGTGAATAATGTAAAACAAGTGTTAGGAGAGAATAAAAATATAAACCAAAGGGAGAAAAATGTGTCATTGGTCCAATCATTTTATAGAAAAATTTGGTAATGTGTATCAAAATATAAACTGCCTAAGATCTTTAATCCCTAACTTTAAAAAAAGACGCTGGAATAAGTGGGAAAGGGTGGAGTCATAGGAAATTTCCACCATAGCATTGTTTCTAACAGGGAAAAGACCAAAAGAATCCAAAACCTACATAAATACCAATTTGCAATGGACCAAACATTTTGTAAGCACACTGCTTCAAAGTATAAAAATGTTTTCTCCCAAAAAACACAACATATTTGATAAGGCTCATTATCATTTTTCCCAGAATCAGTTACTATTAAAAAATATTTTTTAATAACACATTTAGAAAAGGTTTCTGAAAGCTAAGTTTTCCTTGGATACTCAGGACCAATTATCATTTTACTTATCAACTGATAAAGGGTCAGTTCAGCTTTTAAGACTAATCACCCAAAGATTTGAGAAAACTCAGGCTAACATGAAAGACTTTTGTATTTTTTTCTGCATAAAAAAATAATTCTGGTCTTTTTCTACTTTGGTAAACAAAAGAAATGCTGTAGGTTCTGCCTTCATTCTTAATCTCAAACATCTATAATACGTAGGCTTAATGTGAATTTCTAATGGTGAGAGAAACCAAAAGAAAAACTGTTTCTCTTGGGTGTTTCAAAACAGACTCCCTCTGACTTCGCATTATCCCATTTCATGCGCTGCTGCTAGAGCACCCCAGAATTATCACAAGACCAAAATGATGGGAGCCGTAACAGTTTCGACAAGGGATGGAGCTTCAGAATAGATTCCATATTCTAGATTTTCAGTTATCTGGGTTTGAATTTCTATTGCTATTAGATAGATTACACTGCAATAATGTACGTCTGGAGACAGCAAAGTGTGTGCTAGGTCCTGAACATAACCCCTAATGCCACCTGGAGCCCTGGCACCATGGGGTGGAACCCTGGTGATTCCCAGTAACTGCTAACTGCGTAGTTCTCCCCATCCTCACCAACACTTGTTATTATGTTATTTTAATTTACAGCAATGCTAGCATGTGCCAAATGGCAACTCACTGGAGCTTCGATGTTGATCCCTAAGGACTCATGATGCACATCATTCCATGTACTTATTGGCTGCATATCTATTGGGAGAAATGTCTACTCAAATTCTTTGCCCATTTTTGTTAATATTGTTTGCTCCCCCTGAGGGTGGAGAGGCACACGTAACAGTACTCAGAAGTCCCCCTGACTCTATGCTCAGGAGTCAGACCTGGTGGTACTTGGGTGACCATGTGTAGCGCTGGGGATTGAATTAGGATCTGCTGCGTGCAAAGTAAGAGCCTTCAGCTCCTGCCCATTTTTTAATTGAGCTGTTTTATATTATTGAGTTGTAATAGCCCTATGTATGCTTCAGATGCTCTATCTCTGTCAGATAAGGTTTACAAATTCTTTCTCCCACACTCTGGATCACCAATGTCCTAGAAAGCACAAAAGTTTTAACTTCAATGAGAACAATTTTACTTATTTTCCTCTTATCACTGCCTTATCCACCATCACCCTCATGATCATCAAAGATTTATATCTGCGTTTTCTCCCAAGTGTTTTATACTCTTATTTCATATAGTTTTTTCCCAAGTGTTTTATACTCTTATTTCATATAGTTTTTTTTAATTTCGCTTTGAGTTCATTTTGTATTGGGTATGATGAAGAGTTCAAACTTTGTTCTGATTAATGTTGGTATTGAGCTGTGCCAGTTCTATTCAATGAAAAGAATATTCTCTCCCCATTAAACTGTCTTGGCATATAGTTTTTTGTTCTAGATCGTAAATGGTCTATACCTTGACTGAGGAAGTATTTCCACAACTATATATGTGTGTTTGTTAGAACTCAAAAAATTATACACCAGAAAGAATAAATATATTGTATGTGCTATCCCAATAAACCTAAAATTAAAAATTCTGTTTTAGGACAAGAGTGAAAGTACAGGGGTTGAAGTGCTTGCCCTACACATGGATAACCCGGTTCAATTCCTAGCACTAAATATGTTCCCTCAGCACCACCAAGAGTGATTCCTGAGTACAGACCTAGGAGTAAGCCCTGAGCACTGTTGAATGTGACCCCAAAAACCTAAAAATAAAATAATATTTAATTCTACTTTAGGGGCTGGGAGAGGGCTCAGAGAGCTGGACCATATGTCTGCTTTGCACCTGGGAGCTTAGTTTGATCCCCAGCACTGCGTGGTCCCCAAGTACTACTGGGTATTTCTTCATTAAAAAAGGAAAATCTACGTTAGAGAAAATTTCAAATATGGCATATACATACAAGAGTCATAGGTTTCAAAAATACTTCAGTACTATTTATAATGCAAATAGCATACCATATGAACATACATCAAAAAGGAAATAGCTAAAGAAAATCTAATAAAACCACAGGATTGAGAACTATACAGCAGTTCCAAGAATAAGCTAGATTTTATATATAAATATAAAAATTTTATTTTATGTTATCTAGCTTAATTGACACATGTATGTCAAAGAGACAAACTTTAGAAACATTCTACTAAGTAAAACTATAAATACACAAAATGAAGACATGTCTATAGAAAAGGCAGACAAAGTCATACTCAGCATGCTCTGAGACCATGTAGGGTTAAAAAAAGGCACAAGTAAGTAAGGACCTTTCAGGTACAGGTAAGTTAAGTTTAAGGTACAAGTAACCGTAAGAGTAACTCTTAACTGTCAGAAAGAAAACTCAGCACAATAGCATTCACTGGAGAAGGAGAAAAGAAATCAAGAGTGGACAATCAGGAGGAAGATGAACACCATTATTTTGCCACAAAATGAACCACTCATGAATTACTTGGTGTGGTTAAGACTTAATAAAGTATCTTTTATGTGAGTTATAAACAGAGTGGTAAGTGTGAAATTATAATTTTCTTCGGGTGCCAGGAATCAAACCCAGGGTCTCACACATGCAAAGCACACTTTCATTACACATTACCCACTACCTTATCCCTACTAGAATCATAGCTTTTAAATATATAATTAAATATTTACATATATATATAAATATCACTTGTATCACTTGTCATCCCGTTGATCATCAATTTGCTCAAGCAGGCACCAGTAACGTCTCCATTCATCCCTGTTGTGTGCTAACGTAGCCCAGTGGAATCTGCTCACTCCAGCAACACGAAGAGCTTCAGCCCTTTCTCCCTGCTCTGTGAAGTAGAATTTTACACAAAGGAGACAGTGGTCTGATCCCATTTGGAATTTTGGGACAAAGCAACATTGGTCAGGCAAAACCATCGATTAAATATGATATGGTCAATTTCATTGTAGAACTGTCCACCGGGAGACTCCCATGTCCCAACCTTTAGACTTGGCCTTCTGGAACTGCAAGTTACCATGGATGGTCTTGGTCAACATGATGACATTCATCATCATATATAAATATATAGCTTTAAATATATATATATATGGGCATATGTGTATGCCCATATATACTGTACATCCCTGAATATATAGGGGCCCCATATATAAATATATAAAATATATAAATGAGCCCCCATAATCATGCCACTGAACTCCATGCAAGGCTGTTTTCACTAGGGGCACCCCAGAGGGGGTCGGGTGAGCTCTCCCACCCCAAGGGACCCAGCCCCAGCAGCCGACCTCCACTACCCAACCACCAACACTCCAGGATGCTTTCCACATGCTCAGGCCAAGCCTCAAATATGAGTGAACATATTCCTGGACACATTATAAGACACTTCCTACCCATTTTCCATAATTACCATACCATGTTTGATGGAGTTCTGACAGTAGGCAAAAAATCATACAGAAAAAATAAAATATATATATATATACATATATATATATTTATGCCTCTCGGAGAGCCTGGCACGGTACCGAGAGTATCCCACCCACATGGGCAGAGCCTGGCAAGCTCCCCGTGACATATTCAATATGCCAAAACCAGTAACTATAACATGTATCATTCCTCTGACCCTGAAAGAGCCTCCAATCATTGGGAAAGAGGAGTAAGGAAAGGCTGCTAAAATCTAAGGGCTGGGATGAACAGAGACACCCGTTTGAGTAAATCGACGATCAACGGGATGACAGTGACAGTGATATAGATAGATCTATCTATCTATATATATATATATATATATATATATATATGCCCATATATACTATACATCCCTGCATCTAAGCTATACACACACTATACACCCACACACACACACACACGCGCGCGCGCACACACACACACACACACACACACACACGTATGTGACCTTACCAATTTGGATTGTCTCCACTTTCCCGGAAGACAGACTCCTCGTTCATGGATGCATACTGTGTCCACGTGAGGCAATGGCTCTGGATGGCCATTTTCCTCTCCTGAGGATTCAGCCATGATTCCTCTTCTAGCTGGATATTGGGCACCTTGAGGATGCTCACCTGTCCAACAGAGGAGAAGCGTTTCCTCAGTGTAGGCAGCGCAGGTTACAGGTCTGCATTGGGAGCTGCACTCTCAGCTGACTAAGAGGACATGTGATCCTGGTCTTTGGGTAAGAACTCACCAGTGGCTCTAAGTTCTAACCATCAAACACATGCTGACCTTACTAGATGCTGGACAGGACATGCAAATGGCCTAGGATTTATGCAGGCTGTTGCATCTCTGGCCTGATTTCCCTAACTGTGTAACACTAGGCAAATCAGCAACTTCCTCTGGGTCTTCTCTGGAGCTGGCTATGGTCTTCATCAGTGGACAGGTGCTCATCGAGCCCATGTGCAGGCCCACATACAGCGCAGGACCAGGTAAAATGAAATTCATCTGAAACTCTCCACCACCTAGAAATGATACTTCTTTAGGTAGAGGAAACAGGAGACGTGGAAAATTACAAAAGCAGATTTGCACAATGCAGAGGTGTCTTTAAATTATTTAAGAATTGAGATACAAGACAAAGTTGAATGCCGTTTTAAATAATAGATTCAAAGCGTGTATGTAGGGCAAATACAGAGTACAATGCTCTGTGGAGAAGCCAGTTACAACTGACTGTATAGAGCGCCTGGAACATTTTACTGCCTGGAAAATAAAAGGAAGTTCATTTTCACTATATATCAGCATTCCTTCTAATAAACAATGAGACAGCGCTGTAATCCACAGCAAGGAAGGAATGGAAGCTGCCATATTTTCTACCAACAGTCTAGTCATACCGTTTGCAAGCCAATCAGCAGGAGACAGGCAAGATTCGACATCACAACACACACCATCATTACCAGGTTAAAAACATCTGAGATATTTCTTAAAGGACATTCAAGATGCTCTTCTTTATATTGCTAGTAATTCTGAAAGGAGTTTGACTGACAAATCATCTCTGGGTCAAGCAATGCGATGAAAACGTTCTACTTACCTATTTCCAATAATCACCAGAGTGCTTAAGGAGTTCAAGGAGAGAAAAGAGTTTGCTATCATGACAATTTCATCACCAAAGCCATAACATGACAGAAACACACACAAGACGACTTACAGAGAGCCTTGAAAACACCCTACTCCCTGGGAATGAAATGGTGCAGACAGTGAAACAGAAACAGAAGCTCTTCCCTCCCTTACTCAGGAAGAGACTAGGGTAAAACAATAGTACAGTGGGTTCTACGTTTGCCTTGCATGAGGCCACCCCGGATTTGATCCCCAGCATCCCACATGGTCCCCACCCACCCCACCCCCGCACCCCCACCACCAGGAATAATCCCTGAGTACAGAGACAGAAGTAAGCCCTGAGCACTGCTGGTGTGGCCCCAAAACAAAAACAAAAAGAAAAACAAAGAAACAGACTAATATTACAATCTCTCTTCTCTTATCATTCTTACCAGAGTCATTTCTAACCACAGACAGATTAAAAAAAAATTTTTTTAAAAAAAAGATGGCAGCTTATGCAAAATGTTCACAGTCTCTTTTTAAAAGTTGTTAAAGCACCTCTGAGACCACTCAGAATCCTCCACAAGATAAAGATATGAAAGAGAAAAATCTGACTTCCAGCGGCATCTACCTAAGAGAGGTGGCAATGAGAGTTTCTTCCTCTGAGGGACTGGGAGGTAGGAAAACAGTTACTAACACCCCTTTTCATCAGAAAATGTGGTCTCAAAATAATTGACAGGAACAACAAACTGTGAGTACAAATGGGGAAGGGGATAGAAAGAAGTTTAAAGAGGGCTGGTGCTGGGATATTCTTTTGGTTTCGTTTTTCAAAATCATTTTTTCAAAAAAAAGAAAACACTGCCTGGCTATTTGAAAACGGCCAATTTTATGCCAAATCTGGTTGGTTAAGTCTTGAAATGAACTTACCTTCCTTAAAATTTCTGGAACCACATTCTGACAGATTGCAATCCTCTTTCTGTAGATGATTCCTGTTGCTATATCTAGAGAGAGAAACATTTTTACACTCAAAAAAAAAAAAAACCCAAAACTGAAGGCCTGTATTTTAGTATTAATGCATGTTTTAATACTGATCTCAATTTTCTGAATGGGGACCTCAAGGAGAAAATGGTCAACTCAAATCTCAGTCTCCACAATCACTTCTCTGGTCAAATCCAAAATAGTTATCTGTGATCCAAGAATAAAGGTGAAACATTTTTCACACAGTTCACTCCAGACCCAAGGATAAAATAACTACAAACCTCTCTCTCTAGACTATCAGTATCAATGACCCAGTGATAATCAGTGGCCAATGAGCCTCCTGATCAATTCCAATGGGAATGTTTTGACCAGATGAAGAATCTAATTTTGCCACTTTTTCACCTGCTTCCTCTCCTCTGAACACTCATCCTCGGTTGACAGACCATGGACTCCAAGTGACCAGCCACTCTTGGAGGCAAAGGGGTCCCCGTCAAAGGCAGGAATTACACTTGACATTGCTGAGTCACTTTGGAACAGGCACACTGGCCTCTTATTGGACCTTCACAGACGCCCACACTGACAACTCTTACTATCTTTCCATTTAACAGCTGGAGAAACCAAGCCCCAGGAAGCCTGGACATGCTGTCCGGAACAAAATCAGGGCTTGAAGTCAGAATTGTCTGAGGTCAAATCTTTTACACAAAGGTCAGGGACATAAGAAAATTGCTTACATATATACTTATATATAAGTATTTATGCTTGCACCAACTGCATAGGCAACAGAAGTATAAAAATGCCCCAATGAGCAAAAGAAAGCTTTGTGTTCAGTAAGCACAGAGAAGGCCTCAGAGGCATGTTGTTACATGATCTCTTTTGTGTTTTCTCAACAGCAAGTCAGACCTGCGTATGGGGTATCTGGTTTTGTGCACTGATTAATTATATCTTGATTGCTTCCTGGTCTGCAGTTCAAGTCCTGATAGTGAAAAGGCTTCTGCTGGAATGGGAATGAGGAAGACAGTGTTCTGCCATGCCAGGGATTGGAAAACATTTTCAGCAAAGAGCAAACAGTGATTATTTTAAGTTTTGTGGGCTACACGGTCTGGTGCAACAGCTCAAATCTGCTGCTGTTGCAGGGATGTCTGAGATCATAGTCATGTGTCAGAAAACAACCCTTGCACCAACTGCATAAGAGAGGCCCCAGATCCCAGAGGCCCGGTGACACCTCAGCATGTCCTGCCTGTGCGCAGAGGAGCACAGGAGCAGCCAGACGGCCCAGGGAACTCAGTCTAAGGAGCTGCTCTGCTAAACTGTTATGCCAAAGACGTGAGACACTGTTGGGAGAGTAACATACTCTATCTGCAGTGCTCGCACAGCCACAAACTCGCCTGGCATACTCTATCTGCAGTGCTCGCACAGCCACAAACTCGCCTGGAGGTACATTTCTCAGAGTGCATCCCTGCCATTCCATGGCAGTTGACTGTATATAAATAAGTGGGCACAACTATGTGAAATGAAACTTTATTTACAATAGGCAGGATGAGCACAGTTTGTCAACCTGTTCTAGTCAATACTGAACCACCTTAAGTACAGTCTTGATAACCCCGATTAACAGCTGTATGGTCACGTCTTAGACATGCAGACACTATCTATCCCAACCATACTGTCACTGATGACATGAGATAAGGAAACAGCCAGATGGGCTTGGATAAGTTATTGAACTTGTCTTTCATTCATGAATTTTTTCCACTCATTCAGATAAGAGGAACTAAATCCTACCCCCTACACTGTTCTTAAGATCAGAAAAGGTAATTAAAAAAAGGTATCTGGTACATGTTAAGTACATGCTAAGTACAGGTAATCTGTGAAAACTGCTACCAATTATTAAAAGTTGCAAGGACAGTTCAGACAAGTCTACTGCAGCAGTAAATATTGAGTGCTTCTCCCTCTCTCTGTCACCTCAGCTCAAATACACCTATATGCCTATTAGCACACCTGTCAAAACATCATAAGTGGCTGGAGACGGCTCAAAGGGCTGGAGCACCTGCACACAGCAACCCTGGCTGGGTTCAATCCCTGACATTACAAGTTCCCCCAAGCCAACTGTTCCCCCTTCCCAAATATACGCACTCATGCATTCATATACACACACATGAACATCTTTTGGGGGTGTGGAGGGCACACACACAATGCTCAGGACTTCTGTGGTCAGGAATCTGGTAGGCTTGTAGAACCATATGGGATGCTGAGAATTAAACCTGGGTCAGATGCAGGCAAGACAAGTGTGCCCCCCCCCACCACCACACACACACACACATACACACACACTGTACTACTGCTCCAGTTTCTGTGAACATCTTTTAAAAAGATCACTATCACTTAAGGATCATCAGCAAAGTGAGGTTCAGAGGACTTACCTCTCTTTTCCTCCACAGTATTGACAGAGATGACGTTTTTATCCATGGGGTTGGGATACTAAATGAAAACACACAGAAAAATTATCATTCATCATTTTGCCAAGTGAGTTACAGCAATAACCATAACTATTGATAAGAACAGAAAATATTTCCCAAGCAATTCAAAACTAGTTTTCAATCAAGGGTCTTGATTTTCATAAGGGTCTTAATTTTAATATTTGGATCCACCATACTTAAATCTATGGGAAACCTTTTTAAAATTATATCATATCTTTTGACATGACTTTTCTATTTGTTTTGGAGACATTTTGTTTGTTTTTCATTTTTGTAGCACTGTGATTTACAATATTATTCATGATAGGGCTTCACGTATACAAAATGCCAACGCCACACTCTCCACTAGTGTCTGCTCCCCCCCCACCACTGTCTCAGGGTCCCCCTAAGCACCACCCCAGCCATTGGTAAGCTCAGCTCCGCAAACCAAGTCCAAAGTTCTACTGTGCTTGACCATTTGTGGTTCTTGTATTATACCGTACATGAAATGTATATGCTACCTGAAGTCTTTAGTTTTAGCTGCACCCAAAGCAGAGAAGGGGAGGGGAGGCTAATCTGATTAAGGAATAATAAAACAATGGATATTGAACCAACATATGTTATATGGAGTGTCCTTTGTGGCTTGTTTGCTCTAGCCCCAGCTGGCCCTCCCAGGTAATCACCAAGCCCCCAGCTCTCTACCCCTTGGGCCACACTACCACTTGCCTCCCACCCAGCAAGTAAGAACCCAACTCCTGGTTTCTCTCCTGGTCCCACCTTCTTGCCCTTCTGAGCAGCTTCCCACCTACAGTCTGCTCCTAGCTGCCTCCTAGCTGCCTCAATGGGGGTGCCAGTTCCACTTCACCCTTTTCACACTCTCCCTCCCGACACAATGAGGTCACATTTTCTTGCTGGCCCCCAGCTGAGTGCATCATTTTCTGGTCACTAAGGTACTGGTGGGTAGAGCCAGGAAATTAAACCCAGCCTAATACAAATGAACTCATTCATAATGCCCTATGTCATTGTCTAGGTTAGCACTGCAGGAAGACAGCCATAGTCGTAGACTTTACCACATGCTCAAGAAATAGCTTAATTATTGATTTAATTCCTCTGAAAAACAATTTGGATTGTAAGAGAGCTAATAATAGCTATTTTTGTCCCAGGCAGTTTACATACATAATTTCAGTTCAATTCTCCAATCTCTCCCATGAGGTAGATGCTGTTTGTCTCCTTTCAGATCTAAGAAATAACGCTCTGATAAAATAAGTAAATTTGCTCAAAGTCTCCCGGCTAATGAGAGATAAGATTGGAAAGTATTTTCAGAAAGCGTCTGTTGCAGAGTCTGTCCACCTCACCCACCCTCAATTGCCTCAGTCCGATCCAGCCCAATCCATTGCTCAGTTGCCAAAGGGGAGAATTGGGAAGAGCAAGTGACCCCCTAAAGCCAGAGGACAAGGGGGCAAATGCCTCAGGCCTACTGCTCCGGGGCGGGCTCTCTCCCTGAAGCCACAGCATCATCCTGTGATCAAGTCTGAAAAAGGAAAGTAGAGGGAAGACACCCAGGCCGTCACAGATGCTGAGAAGGCGAGAGTAACAGGCAGGAGGAAGGGGCTGGGGGAGCAGAGGAAAAGAGAACTTGCACTAGGGACTGGAGGCTTTCGGTCCTCTGGATCCCAGAAAACAGGACACAGAACTCGCTGAGGGCAGGCCTCCCTGCCTGCAGAATCTGGGTGCTGGGTGTTAGTACAGTGTATGCAAAACTCTGTGTGTATAGGGCTGGGGGGGGGGGGGGAATCAAGTGGGGGGCTGGTATACTGAGTTCCAAGAAAAAGGTCCCTAGTTTCACTTATTCTTTTTTGTTTTGTTTAGCTTTTTGGGTCACATCCGGTGATGCTCAGGGGTTGGTTATTCCTGGCTCTGCACTCAGGAATTACTCCTGGCGGTGCTCGGGGGGGCACATGGGATGCTGGGAACTGAACCTGGGTCGGCCACATACAAGGCAAATGCCCTACCCACTGTGCTATTGCTCCAGCCCAATTTTTTATTTTTTAATGAATCATCATGGGATAGTTACAGACCTACAACTTTTGTGCTTACCTTTCAGTCATACAATGATTGAGTACCCATCCCTCCACCAGTGCCATTCTCCACCACCAATGTTCCCAGTATCCCTCTCACCCCCCACCCTCCACCCTAACCCCGCCTCTGTATCAGGCGGATTCCCTTTTTACTATCTCTCTCCTTTAGGGTGTTGTGTTCTGCAATGCAGGTGTTAAGTGGCCATCATGTTCAGTCTATAATCTACTTTCAGCAAACATCTCCCATCCCGAGCAGGTCCTCCAAGCATCCTTTACTTGGTGTTCCCTTATCTATCTGAACTGACTTTTCCCCCAGCATGTGAGGCCGGCTTCCGAGCTATGGAGCAATCCTCCTGTTCCTTGTCTCTACTATCTTTGGGAGTTTCACTTATTCTTAAAGATGTATGTGCTCCCCCGAGGACACTGGATTTGAACATTGTCTCCACGCAGGCAGGAACATAACAACTTCAGTTGTTCCTGCCTCTATTGCCAAGCATAGTGTCTGGCCAAGAAAGCACTCAAAGAACACTTGCTGAGTGAATGAACGCTTCAGATGAGAGAGCTCACTGACCTCAGGGACCCATAAGGAATGTCCACTTAAGCTTTCAAGGGGGACCAATCTGTGAAGAGAGCAGGGGGCTCAGTCCTCAGTCGCCCCCACACCCCATAATGCCCTACAGTGTAAATGCCATCGTTCACTCTGATCCTGAATAACGAATCTCTCTCTCACTCACACACACACACACACACACACATACACACATGCATCCATGCACGTGCGCGCTCACACACACACACACACACACACACACACACACACACACACAAGAGCATGTCAATACACTCATCCAGGTATTCATTCCATTTTGCTCCAGGAAGAAGCGCTCCAAGTCATACTGACTGTTCTTCTGAAGTTCCCTTCCTTCCTGAGGCAGGTGTGGATCGTCTGCCCCTCAGCAGGCCCCTGAGCAGGTGGGTGGATCTCAGTTGCCCTACAGGCATGGGTGAGAGGGTGCAGGTAAACTAAGAACTTTTACTCCAAGGTAATATATAAGTATTTCCTCTGCTCTTAATTTGTTTTGCATGCTTTAAAGTCATAAATATGTCTCAGCTGACTATTATAAATAAACCACACGTGATTGCTGAACTAACCAGTAAAGAAGGTTGGAAATGAAAGAGAAATAGAGTGATAAAAGTTTCCAGGTTCTGCTTGCTTCCCTAAGTTATCAGTAACAGCCCCACCTATTATAAACTCACATGCTTTGTAAGGTTAAATAGAACTTTAACGTCTGCTTATTAAGTCATGAGATACTGATTTAAACAATAGTGAACTGTCTACATAACAAAAAAAAATTCACTTGTTTTATCATCTACATGCACCACACTGTTTCAGGCACTGAGGATATGTAATAAAACAAACAAGGCTTCCTGCTCTCAGAGAATTTATTTGGAAGTTGGGGAAACAAACAAATAAATCTGTAGGAAATTAATCATACTAAGGTTTAATAGAGGAATGAGAAATTATGGGGACACCTCCTCACATGGTACTTAAGTGCCACCCACTAGATAGTACTTATTTTAAAATATATACAAAAGACCCTGAACTATTCATTCCAGAAACATTATTTGCAACATTCAAGTCATTATCCTACACAACTACTTTTAGAATTCAATAGACACGAGCTTCAAGTTTTCCCCTGATACCAGGAAAAGAAATCAGAGGCTTGGTTCAAATAGCTTTATTCCATGTTATGAAAGGCGTTTATTTTAACTTTTATTTTAATTATAAGATTTGTTGTACTGAGGCTCCCCCTACCTGGCATTTCTTTAAATGATCTGATGCTGCCTTGTGGTAACCTGAATTGTGCTGGTTTCATTCACAAAAATGTTTGCAAAGCGGGACTGGGGGTTGTGGAGCGTGGCGATGGGCACTGGAGCAGGAGAAACCCGACCTTGCAAAGCCGCCCTGAAGTGAAACCTCACAAAAGGGAGTAACTGGGCAAAGTTAGCAAAACAGGGTGCCTGCATCAGGTGTCTGGCTTGAGCCTCACTCCACCCCCTACAGATGTATGCCTGAAATGCAGAAATCATCACGTTCACCTTAAACAAAGCATTCTAACTCCAACATATAGCCTTGAAAAGAAATGGACCTGGGACAAAACAGAAAGGAAAAGGTTCTAGGTCAATAGTGTTAAGCTCTAATGTAATTGGGCCTCCTGTTAGCCAAGGCCCCCTATAAACATGTGTTTGGCAATAAAGTGAGCTGTGATCAACTGCTTCCAGAGGGATTTCTCGCGTGCTGGTCCTCCTTTGCCCCACAGTGAGGCTCCTGCCCCGACCCGGTGCACAACGTGTCCGGGTATGTTGGGAATAACTGTTCCCCAACACGAAGTGGGATGGCTGGTCCCAGAGGGTCCCCACCAAGTCCAACTTGGGACGATATGAAGTCCAAGGCCGGGTTTTTCTGGTACCTTTCCAAACAGGAGGTGGCCCTGGACTGGATGGAGCTGGCCAAGGATGCAGTGAGTGGGTGGTAGCCTAGAGGCCAGAGGCTGCATCTGTGTCCTCCACCTCCTCCAAATGAGCAAACACATTGACAAGCAGGACGAAAAGACTCCTCTCCGTAGAAGGACATAATGGCACCAGGCTGGTGAGGCAGACGGCAACAGGCTGGGACGCCCCCACCCTCTCCACATGGAGGCTCTCAGCCTTCCTGCCCTGGACCTGGCCGGGAGCAGCAGAAGCAACCGAGGCATCTGAGGCGCCGCAGAAGGCTGTGCACATCCTCCACACATGCCAGACCGCTACGGGGAGAGGCAGGGAGCACCTAAGAGACAGCAGACTTCCTCTGGAACTTCCACTTTCTTCACAGCACGTAGAAGCAAACTACTTCCTTTCCTCAAGATTGAAACCCATGATTACTATCCCTCTCTCCTCCATGTCCTCT